TGGTTTGTAATACAGAGAATGAGGAGTGTATGTTCAGTCAGTGTCCACTTTGTGAAAATTTCTTTCGAGATGAGGTTGAACAAAAAGTTATTGACGGTAACGTTCAGATTAAATGGCTTCAGTGGGGCGAACGAAAATGGACGGGCAGAAAAAAAGAGTATTCTGGTAGTGTTGATGAGGCAGTCCAGCTATTAGGAAGTAAAATTGAACATTTTAAATTTCATGTGTTTGTTAAGAGAGAACAGTCGAAATATTTTGAAAAACTTAAGGCTGAAGTGACCGATGAAAAAGTTATGTGTCAAGTTGATTTCGCCGAAAATTATGGAATGAAGGAGCAAGATGAAGTTCAGTCCGCACATTGGTACACAAAAACAATGAGTATATTTACAGGTTATGTTTGGTCCAAAAGTGGAGGATTTGGTTTTGCTCTACCCTCGTTAGATGTTAGTCACGATAAATTCGTTGTGAATTCAGCTCTGGAATTAATTTTAAATCATTTGAAAACTCTACTTCCAAATCTGAAAGAAATTAACTTTTTCAGTGATGGAGCACCGTCTCAGTTTAAGGGGCCCCCCCTCCAAAATCTGTCTTCGTTACCATGCATAGAATTTTGATGAAACTTTGTAGGTATGTTGGGTCCATAAAAGTAAAGTTATGAAATTTTTTTTACGCCTCAACACCTTACCGTTCAGGAGTTCTCCAGAGACCAAGGTCAAAAACGGGACCTTTACCCCAACAAACTCTTTTTCAATATACTTCAAGCTACAGACCTGGGGCTGCTTTTTTTAAAAGAGAACTCCGTACCCCTTCGAATGAGGGAAAGGGACTTTTTTGTTCTTGTTTTGTTTCATTTTAGGAACGTTCAAACCTCAAAAATCTCTAAAAACCCATTCAAGGGTTTCAAGAAAACTCTGGTTCCCTGACAAAACTGAGGCCTAAATAAAAAATCCCTTCCCCTCATCCGAAGCAGTATGCATGTCCCCATCTAGTAAAAAAAGCCTCAGCTCTCTACAATGTAGTATATTGAAAAAAAATTTGCTGGAAATTTGACTATTGACAAAAAAATCAGTTTTGAGAAAAACGCCAAAATACACATCCGTGGGTGTTTTCTGAATAACTTTTGATAGAAAGCAGCTAGAGAGCTCCGATTTTTTTCATGCAAAAGAAGAGACTTGTGGACATGTTTCCACAAGCATAATTATTTTCTGAAGAGTTTTCTGAAGCAGGTTTTCTAGGAGATCTTTGAAAAACCAGGTGTGTGTAAAAGTTTTCGAATAGGATTGTACCGATTTTTTCTCATGGGCTGATAGCCCGGGATGTTCTCTTGATAATGGAAGTCAAACGAGACCTTGATTTTCCGCAGCTTGGGCGTTGTATCGGATTTCCTACGAGTCCCAGGACTGGCACCTGGTGACTATTGGTAGCATTGAAAACGAATGGACTATGGGTAATCAATCATGCTGAGTCTCGTGGCAATATTTGCTTTTAGAAAAAGTTCTTAGGATCTAGTGAAAAAGGAGTTTTACGAAAATGGGGGTTTTCAGGCTGTTTCACCTCATATTTAAAAATTTACTATTCACTCAAAATACATCAGAACAAGTTCAAAACTTTAGGATATGGTTAATTCTGTCCGCTAAATGTGATTATGAGGTCGAAAAAATCAATAAAGCATATTTTTGTTAATGGGTTTTTCAGAAATCCTTTCGGAAAACCTTAGAGTTCTGTAAAATCTCTTTCTAGATCTCCGATAAATGGGATATAGAATAGCCTAAATACTTCACATTCTGTAGTTTTGAACTAGTTCTGATGTATTTTGAGTGAATAGTAAATTTTTAAATATTAGTTGAAAACAGCCTGAAAACCCCCATTTTCGTAAAACTCCTCTTCCACTAGATCCTAAGAACTTTTTCTAAAAGCAGATATTGCCACGAGACTCAGCATGATTGATTACCCATAGTCTATAC